TCTAACAATTCCTCACTAAATCTCTTTCTGAACTCCTCACAGACTTCCTTCTCATTTCTTTTAAGCTCCCCTCCTACCTTCTTCAGCCTCATTCGTGGTTCCTTACTGTTGCGTTCCTCCTGATGTGGCCAATTTAAAAGCTTAGGGTTGAATTTAACGTTCGATGTTATGTCATTCTCAAGTTGTCATTGAGCCTATCTTCTTACCCTTGCATAACCGTTTAAGGCTCTTTGGTTCACTTCATTATTTTTCCAGAGTTCTTTGTCTAATGCTTTTTCATGCTGTATCTCTGCAGCCTTGGTTAAACAATATGCTCACTCTGGTCTTCCCATTGTTTCTATTGCTTCTGGGTACGAACTTCTCTCTGCCTCCTTGCACTTTCCGGCCTCACACACCACCATCATCACATCCATTATCTTCCCTGGTTTCTGTCTCCCACTATGCCTCATACAGGAATTGCCCCTGATTATTGCTGTTATTCTCCTGTAAGGAGGCTACCAGCTGCGACCGCCGCTGTAAGGAGGCTACCAGGCTGCGACGCCGCTGTTAAGGAGGCTACCAGGCTGCGACGCCGCCACAAACATCCTTCCTCCCCATCAAAATATGACAGCAATGCCATCAAGAAGCAAGGAAAAATAGGATGAAAAAACCTAGCATGAGAAAACAAAGATGGACATTTAGACAGTAGTTGGGAAATAATATTGTTGAATGTTAGATTACTTAGCCAGAAAATTAGTTAAAGACGGTCAATACTTATAGACCAAGACTTATGGAACGAGACGCTTGTGTAGCATTTGGGAATCTTTGTGAGACTGAGGGACTGATTACCTCAATCCTCCCCATTTTCCACCTCTCTTCTTTGCATTGGACTGAAGAAGCAAGAAAACACTGGCTGGCGAAATGTTTCCTTCATAAATATTACCAAATGTTGAACAATTGTCTCATTCCTCAACTTGTTGATTATCTAAATTATTTCCATCACAGAACAAGAGAGGAAATGTTGAGTAAGAGAAAACAAAACTACAAGTACAGATCCAAGAGAAGTTTGTGAGGCAACATGAGGAGACTAACATATTTCCTGAGGCAACATGAGGAGACTAACATATTTACTGAGGCAACATGAGGAGACTAACATATTTTACTGAGGCAAACATGAGGAGACTAACATATTTACTGAGGCAACATGAGGAGACTAACATATTTACTGAGGCAACATGAGGAGACTAACATATTTACTGAGGCAACATGAGGAGACTAACATATCTTATACTGAGGCAACATGAGGAGACTAACATATTTACTGAGGCAACATGAGGAGACTAACATATTTACTGAGGCAACATGAGGAGACTAACATATTTCCTGAGGCAACATGAGGAGACTAACATATTTTACTGAGGCAACATGAGGAGACTAACATATTTACTGAGGCAACATGAGGAGACTAACATATTTACTGAGGCAACATGAGGAGACTAACATATTTACTGAGGCAACATGAGGAGACTAACATATTTACTGAGGCAACATGAGGAGACTAACATATTTACTGAGGCAACATGAGGAGACTAACATAAGATATGGAATAATATAACATTCACAGAAGTAAGCAGAGTACACAGTAGAATGTTTCTCAGGAATACATTGTAGAAAGTCGTTCTTGGGAAAATTATGAGGAATGTAGACTAAAGGAAAAATATCAATCCAGGTAAAATGTGGAAATTTAGGGCAGTTAATTAAGGCAGTTGACGGGCAGTTGTACAAGAAAATACTATGGAGAAGAATTACATATTTGTGAATGTGTTATGCAGAATGTAAATGAAAGGAAATTAGAATAAAAATATTGCAAAGGAATAAATGCATAGTTAAGAATGTGTAAGATGCAAGTATGTGTCAGGAATGTGTAAGATGCAAGTATGTGTCAGGAATGTGCAAGATGCAAGTATGTGTCAGGAATGTGTAAGATGCAAGTATGTGTCAAGAATGTGTAAGATGCAAGTATGTGTCAAGAATGTGTAAGATACAAGTATGTGTCAAGAATGTGTAAGATACAAGTATGTGTCAAGAATGTGTTAAGATGGAAGTATGAATCAAGATTAATGGTGAATGTTTGGTTGTATGTGTGAGAGTAACAAAACGTGTAGGAATCGTTTACAGAAGTGAGTGTGTGGGCAGAGAACGTAGGAAGAATGTCATGTAGGAACATTCCACTGTCTACCTAACTAATTTCTTACTTCACACAAAAACACAACTGAACATGTTAGGTCGTCCATAAGTGAGAGTAGCTGAGAGTAAACAATTCACTTAAAAGCTTAATTTTTCTGCTCCTGTAATATAAAGAGATGGAATATCAAAGAGTTACTTAAACAAGCTTCCAGGAGACTGTTTCCTTACTGAGAATAATTGTCTGATAGACTAGACATGGAAAAAAACTAAGAAACACTGGACCAAAATATCAGCATAGAAAATGTATACGACGGAGCACAATGGTATGTCTTATTTCCCTTGAAATACATCGAGTTCTTCTGTTTTTCTTCTCTCTTGCTTTAGCTGTTACAATTACGAGGTTAATAGCACATATGTGCAACACTTGCGTATCTTATATGTGTGTATATATATATTATATATATATATATATATAAATATATATATATATATATAATATATATATATATATATATTATATATATATATAATGGTCGTGCCGAATAGGTTAAACTTGCGATTTTGGCTTAAATAGCAGTGCTCTTCTTGCCGAATAAGGCAAGCGAAAGTTTGTGAATGCAATAATTTCGCAAAAATCATTCTGAACCTAACGAGAAAAATATATTTCATTGTGAATGAGAGTGGAATTAGATCCTCTTAAGTGTGGTTGGGAACTGCGGAAACCTAAACTAGAACCGATAAAAATGTCTTAGAGAGCGCCTTCTGCTCAGTTGATGAAATTTTTTACATGTAGCTATTGTAAAACTCAATATGCAACACTAATATGTTGTGTACGAGCGCATGTGTTGACCATGATGTCAGGTGTTGTAGTTCACATGTGACACATAAGTTAACATGGCACACATAACTACGTTAAAGCACCTAAATTACTGGGAACGGTTGAAGTCCCTTGATTTGTATTCCCTGGAACGCAGGCGAGAAAAATACAGGATAATATACACTTGGAAAATACTTGAGGGATTAGGTGCCAAACTTGCACACGAAAATCACTCCGTATGAAAGCAAAAGACTCGACAGGAGATGCAACATTCCCCCAGTGACAAGCAGGGGCGCCACGAGTACACTGAGACAACACAGTAAGTGTCAGGGACCCAAGACTGTTCAACTGCCTCCCAGCATACATAAGGGGGATTACCAATAGACCCCTGACTGTCTTCAAGAAGGCACTGGACAAACACCTAAAGTCAGTACCTGACCAACTCGGCTATCGGCCCAAAACCCGGCCGATAAGTGTTTTTTTTTTTTTTTTTTTTTTTTGTGCGGGTTATTTTTGTATCGTTCCAGTCACGATATTGTGCCTTGTTTTGTTATTTATGTACAGCCTAACAAGACGGGAGCAGAAGTCTCCCTCACCACCTCCTAACAAGCAGGTGTAGGAGCAGGAGCCTTCCTCACCACCTAACAAGGCAGGTGTGGGAGTAAAAGTCTCCCTCACCACCTAACAAGGCAGGTGTGGGAGCAAGAGTCCTTCACACCTAATTCATGAAAGTGGAGTGTGGGTATGGGTCCCCCACATTACTTCCTTGACATCCTCCATCCTAGAAGATGAGTGCAGGGGAATGAGGCCCCTACAACCGCCTCCTGACAAGGCAGGTGTGGAGATGAAAGCTTGAAACCATCAGAACTACTATAGTAAGAATTTTTTTCATTTTTTTTTAATTTGTAGCTTATCCTACAGTGCATGACATGAGGAGGGTGAATCCCCAATACCTAACTCCTGACAATGTGGGTATGAAGGCATGAGTACCCAACACCTGTTTCTTGACAAGGCAGGTGTGAAGACATGAGTTCTCCACACCTATCTCCCGAAAGGTAGGCTGTAGGGCATGAATCTCCTAACAAAGCAGGTGCAGGTGCATAAGTCTCTACAGCTAGCTACTGACATGATGGGTTTGGGGCCATGAATCCCCCACATCTGCTTCCTGAAAGGTGGGTGCACAGACGTCAATCCCCAGCACCTGCCTCTTGACAGTCTGTGTGCAAGAATATGTCGTTCCCTGAGCCCCTAAGTCTGCTTCCTCTCAAGGTGGGTGCTGGGGCATCATGTACCCATACTCTTGATATGACTCCTTCACACCTTTCATCTGACAAGACTGATGCAGTGGCATGTAACCTCCACACCTGCCTCCTGACAAGGCAGTTGTGAGGAAGGAAACTTGAAATAATTGGAAAAACTACTAAAATAAGAACATTTCTCAATAACTTTTTGACATTTATAGCTAAGCTTACTGAGATAAAATACCCCTGACAGCACTGGTTTATTCTGCTAATTTTACATAAACAATAACGTTCTGAAATATACAGGTATTCCATTTCGTAATTGTTCTGCTATGTTTTGAGCACCGGGAAAAGAGGCTCAAAGTTAATATCTTTTAGAAAAAAATGAAAATATTTTCCTTGGTGTTAACATTACTGTTCATGATACACTCGAGATTTTCTGAAAAAAAAAATTCAATACTTGCCTACTAGATTTTAGACAGGCTTGCCAGAGGTTCAAACCCAGATTTTGAATGTCTTAATGCTTCTCAGAAGCTGGTGTTTCACTTCTGGATATTAGCTGAGATGCCGTGGAGCTTTAGGGTCCCTTTAGCATAAAGAGTCTTTTAACAGTTGGCCTCATGTATATATGTATCCCCGATTCCAGGGAGGGTGTATGCGGGGGAAAACACTGCTGGCACGGAGAGGAGGGTATCAAAAGGGGGCGGGAGGGTGGCTTTGTGGTTAATTCTCCTACACGGGACTGAAGGCAGCCCCCCTCTGGACCGCTACTGCCCCCAAACATGCTATCGTCGGCCTCACCAGGAGCTTAGGGGTGAGTTACAAAGTCTGTTTCGTCAGTGCATCGTGACTGTGACAACAAGCTGATAAATATTAGTAAAAACGTGTAATTAAGTGAAAGCTTTTATTCTTGAGGTTTCGTTCATAATTGACCTGTGTGTGGCCCGCGGTCTGGTGGGAAGAACTCTCGCTTCACATGGCGAGGGTCCAGGTTGCTGCCTTGCAAAATTGCATAGCTCCTGATGACGCACTGAGAAGTGTGAAAGTACTTGAGCTAAAGATTTACACCCCCCCCCCGTCCGTGTCTTGTCTTGCATATATGTATATTATTGTGACCACGAACGAGTGGTATTGATCAATAACAACACTGCACTAGCCAAGGACTCGAACCCATGCTGCTTTGGCCTTCCTCATGGTGAGCGAAAACACATGACGCCCTTATCCACTGAACCATACAATCCTTAAGGATCGTATGGTTCAGTGCATAAGGGCGTCATGTGTTTCGCTCACCATGAGGAAGGCCAAGCAGCATGGGTTCGAGTCCTTGGCTAGTGCAGTGTTGTTATTGATATATATATATATATATATATATAAAAAATATATAAATATATATTATTTATATATATATATATATATATTATAATATATATGTATATATATATATATAATATATATATATTTTATATATATATATATATATATATATATATATATATGATATAATATATATATAAAATATATAAATATATATATATATATATATATATATATAATAAATAAATAATATATATATATATATATATATATATATATATATATATATATTATATATATATATATATATATGTGTGTGTGTGTGTTGTGTGTTTTGTGTGTGTACTGTGCAATAACTTTACAATAAATAAATACGTCTCTTTACTGACAGTCTGAGTTCCATCATAAGATCAGTGGTGTGAAGGTTCAAAGTCTGTGTCCTAGCCTGGTGAGAACCGACCTTGTCATCAACTCCGTCAAGAACGCCTTTTCCCCTGAGGTGGCACAAACCTTGACCAAGTTCGCTGCTTCTCTCGCTGACATGTCGTGAGTCCTCAAAATATTCCTTTCTTCAATTTTTTCCAGCATTATGTATTTATTTCTTTTTTTTAAGGTAAAATGCGTCGTTCACCTGTATTAATATAGTGTTTATTCTGAAATAAATTGTCTGTGAAGAAATAATGTGAAGTATCTTTAATATTTTTTATTTATGTTTTGGTGTCTTAGTTCGTCTTAAATATTTTTGAGTCGCATCTAAGTCTTCTATTTCCTCAAAGTAAAAAATAAAAATTACACTGTTTTTGGATCAAATATTCCTTTTTTTATTATTATTTTGATCTTTCACTTATTTAGACCTAAAAAAAATATTATTCTCAGTCTTTGTCGTTTAGAAGCGAATCTGAACTTTTAATCACTGTTGACAAGGAAACATAATTAACAGAAAAAATAGAATTTTAACCCCCAGTGGGTCATTTTACTGTCATTATGACGTTCGTGATTCCTGAGTACATAACTAAATAATTATCTGCCCATTTTCTGCCTATATGACAGGGAGATTTCCAACTTTGTTGATACGTCTGTGTGACACAGACTGACTTATTAATGTTATTAATGCAAAACATTTATCGTACAGAGCGGAGACGGTGGCAGAGGCGCTAATAAAGCTGTTAGAGGAAGGTCGTAACGGAGCTTGTATGGTGGTAGTAGCTGACAAGACTCCCTTCTATGTGGACTCTCCCATACCTTCCTAGCTCCTGCTGCTCCTGCTGCTCCTGCTGCTCCTGCTGCTCCTGCTGCTCCTGCTGCCTTCTACTGACTCAAGCAACTTAGGTCATTTGCCTCTGTGAAACATCACTTGTTTAACAGCCACAGCAGCGATAATCACCACAATTACTATAAAGATAACCCAGACGTCTTCACTTGAGCTATCTCAGTCACCACCGTCTCTTGGTGGACGATTTAACACATATATTAACATTTTATGTAAGCTCTGCTGACTGGAGCGGAGTCGTCACATGCGCAAGTACACGGCTGTACAGGCTAGATAACAGAGTACATATATGGACTCGTGTGTGAGTCAGCAGGGTTGTCCAGCGGACTTTTCACATAATTTGCCACTCTCATGGTGTAAAATTCTCATTTCATATTGATCCATATTGAAAACCGATTATCATTCATGTCTGGTTTATCACTGTCTTAAATAATGTTTTTATAAACTTTGGAATTAACTTAAAGTAATGTTATGTTCTCTCTTTATTTGACTTACATTATTTCTGATGTATTCACAAAAATAGTAAATTTTTGTAGGTTATTTAAATCTTAAAAGTCTTTACTGTTATAAATAATTCTGAAGCCTCTGAGCTTCGAAAAAAACACACACACACACACACACACCACACACACACACACACACACACACACACACACACACACACACACACACACACACACACACACACACACACACAGGTGTCCCTGTTTGCAGATGACGTGAAGTTGATGAGAAGAATTCACTCGATCGAAGACCAGGCAGAACTACAAAGGATCTGGACAGGCTGCAGACCTGGTCCAGCAACTGGCTCCTGGAGTTCAATCCCACCAAGTGCAAAGTCATGAAGATTGGGGAAGGGCAAAGAAGGCCGCAGACGGAGTACAGTCTAGGGGGTCAGAGACTACAAACCTCACTCAAGGAAAAAGATCTTGGGGTGAGTATAAACACCAGGCACATCTCCTAAGCGCACATCAACCAAATAACTGCTGCAGCATATGGGAGCCTAGCAAACCTCAGAACAGCATTCCGACATCTTAATAAGGAATCATTAGGACCCTGTACACCGTGTACGTTAGGCCCATATTGGAGTATGCGGCACCAGTTTGGAACCCACACCTAGCCAAGCACGTAAAGAAACTAGAGAAAGTGCAAAGGTTTGCAACAAGACTAGTCCAGAGCTAAGAGGTATGTCCTACGAGGAGAGGTTAAGGGAAATCAACTGACGACACTGGAGGACAGAGAGATAGGGGGAACATGATAACGACATACAAAATACTGAGAGGAATTGACAAGGTGGACAAAGACAAGATGTTCCAGACATTGGACACAGTAACAAGGGGACACAGTTTGAAGTTGAAGACACAGATGAATCACAGGGATGTTAGGAAGTATTTCTTCAGCCACAGAGTAGTCAGTAAGTGGAATAGTTTGGGAAGCGATGTAGTGGAGGCAGGATCCATACATAGCTTTAAGCAGAGGTATGATAAAGCTCACGGTTCAGGGAGAGTGACCTAGTAGCGATCAGTGAAGAGGTGGGGCCAGGAGCTCGGACTCGACCCCCGCAACCTCAACTAGGTGAGTACAACTAGGTGAGTACACGCACACGCACACACAACCCCCGCAACCTCAACTAGGTGAGTACACACACACACACGCCCCGGAGCTAAGGGATATGTCCAACTAGGAGAGGTTTAGGGAAATCGACCTGACGACACTGGAGGACAGAAGGGATAGGGGAGACATGATAACGACTTATAAAATACTGAGAGGAATCGACAAGGTAGACAGAGACAGGATGTTCCAGAGATGTGACACAGCAACAAGGGGTCACAACTGGAAGTTGAAGACTCAGATGAATCACAGGGATGTTGGGTAGTATTTCTTCAGCCATATAGTTGTCAGGAAGTGGAACAATCTGGAGAATGATGCAGTAGAGGCAGGCTCTATACAAAGCTTTAGGAAGAGGTATGATAAAGCTCATGGAGCAGGGAGACAGTGGACCTAGTAGCGATCAGCGAAGAGGTGGGGCCAGGTGTGAATCGACCCCTGCAACCACAAATAGATGAGTACACACACACACACACACACACACACACACATACATAGTTTTAAGAAGAGGTATGACAAAGCTCAGGAAGCAGAGAGAGAGAGGATCCAGTAGCGATCAGTGAAGAGGCGGGGCCAGGAGCTGAGTCTCGACCCCTGCAACCACAATTAGGTGAGTACAATTAGGTGAGTACACACACACACACACGGGATTGTTCCAGAGAAGGGACACAGACACAAGAGGTCACAATTGGAAGTTGAAGACTCAGATGAATCAAAGGGATGTTAGGAAGTATTTCTTCAGTCATAGAGTAGTCAGGCCGTGGAATAGCCTAGAAAGTGACGTAGTGGAGGCGGGAACCATACATAGTTTTAAGGCGAGGTATGATAGAGCTCATGGAGCAGGGAGAGAGAGGACCTAGTAGCAATCAGCGAAGAGGCGGGGCCAGGAGCTGTGACTCGACCCCTGCAACCACAAATAGGTGAGTACAAATAGGTGAGTACACACACACATGAAAGGAGGAAAGAGAGGGGAAGATGGATAGGAGAACCCAGACTCGGGAGGAAAATCAAATACAGCCTCCCTCACAACCACCTACAGAAGCCCCCCAATCAGGACAGCCCCAGTGCAACCAAACATTCTAACCCCAAAACAAATATGCCATATCCAGTGCCCCCGCCCACCTTATTACAAACTCCACCCCCACAGCAACCACCCATAGTTCCTTATCAGGTCCCCCACCTCCCCAACCCCAACGAAGTTGAAAGTGTGGTATACAAATGCAGACGGAATAACAAATAAGTGTGAGGAGTGGCATGAAAGAATCAAGGAGACATCCCCAGACATAATAGCACTCACAGAAACGAAACTCACAGATGCAATTTTTCCACCCAGATATCAAATCCTCAGAAAAGATAGAGGGAGGAGAGGGGGAGGAGATGCACTGCTTATTAAAAACTGGTTGGGATTTGAGGAAATGGATTGAATGAATGGAATGTGCAAAAGGGACTACTTAGTAGGAATAATCCAGTCTGAGGGCCATAAGGTAATTGCAGTAATGTACAACCTGCCACAGAATTGCAGGAGGCCAAGATAAGAATACGACGAGAGCAACAGAGCAATGGTCGAAACACTAGCTTAGGTGCCCAGAAGAGCTCACATGGGGGGAGCAAAGTTACTAGTTATGGGTGATTTCAATCACAAGGAGATTGGCAAAACCTGGAGCCCTATGGGGGTCCCGAAACATGGAGAGCCAAGATGATGGATGTGGTACTGGAAAACCTCATGCATCAACATGTTAGAGACACTACCAGAGAGAGAGGTGAGGATGATCCAGCAAGAATGGACCTTGTATTCACATTGAGTAGTTCGGACATCGATGATATCACTTATGTAAGGCTCCTTGGAGCTAGTGATCATGTGGTTCTGTGCTTTGATTGCATAGTTGAGCTACAAGTGGTGAGAGCAGCAGGAACAGGACGGGAAAAAACAAAAACTACAAAAGGGGAGACTACACAGGCATGAGGAATTTCCTGCAAGACGCTCAGTGGAAGAAAGAACCGGCAGGAAAACCAGTAAAAGAAATGATGGACTATGTGACAAAATGCAAGAAGACGGAGGAGAGGTTTGTTCCCAAGGGAAACAGAAATAATGGAAGACCATAACGAATCCTTGGTTCACCCAAAGGTGTAGGGAGGCAAAAACTAGGTGCACTAGAGAATGGAAAAGGTACAGAAGACAAAGGACCCAGGAAAATAAAGAGATCAGCCGAAGAGCCAGAAACGAATATGCACAATTAAGAAGGGAGGCTCAGTGACATTACGAAAATGACATAGCATCGAAAGTCAAGTCTGACCCGAAGCTGTTGTATAGCCACATCAGGAGGAAAACAACAGTCAAGGACCAGGTAATCAGGCTGAGGAAGGATGGTGGGGAGTTCATAAGCAATGACCAAGCAGTATGTGAGGAGCTCAACATGAGATTTAAAGTATTTACAGTAGAAACAGGTAGGACTCCATGAATTAAGAACAGGGAGGTACACCAACAAGTGCTGGATGAGGTACACATAGCCAAGGAGGAGGTGAAGAAGTTCCTATGTGAACTTGATATCTTGAAGGGTTCTTAGAGAGGGAGCAGAGATCCTGTGTATGCCACTAACATTGAAACTGGGCAATTACCTGAGGTATGGAAAATGGCAAATGTAGTCCCAAGTTTTAAAAAAGGAGACAGGTACGAGGTATTAAATTACAGACCTGTTTCACTAACGTGTATAGTATGCAAAGCCATGGAGAAGATCATCAGGAGGAGAGTGGTGGAGCACGTGGAAAGAAACAAGCGGATAATCGACAACCAGCAAGGTTTCAGGGAAGGAAAATCCTGTTTCACAAACCTAATGGAGTTTTATGACAAGGAGAAAGAAGACAAAAGAGAGAGGGGTGGATAGACTGCATTTTCCTGGACTGCAAGAAGGCCTTCGACACAGTTCCTTACTAAAGGTTAATGCAAAAGCTAGAGGATCAGGCACACTTAACAGGAAAGGCACTGCAATGGATCAGAGAATATCTGACAAGGAGGCACCAGCGAGTCAAAGTACGTGACGAGGTGTCAGAGTGAGCGCCTGTGATAAGCGGAGTTCCACAAAGATCAGTCCTAGGACCTGTGCTGTTTCTGGTATATTGAATGACATAACGGAAGTGATAGACTCAGTAGTGTCATTGTTTGCAGATGATGTGAATTTAACGTGGAGAATCAAATCGGTCGAGGATCAGGCAGGGCTACAAAGAGACCTGGACAGATTACAAGCCTGGTCCAGCAACTGGCTCCTGGAATTTAACCCTGCCAAATGCAAAATCATGAAGATCGGGGAAGGTCAAAGAGGACCGCAGACAGAGTATAGGCTAGGTGGCCAAAGACTGTAAACCTCACTCAAGGAAAAAGATCTGGGGGTGAGTATAACACCGAGCACATCTCCTGAGGTGCATATCAATCAGATAACTGCTGTAGCATACGGGCGCCTGGCAAACCTACGGATAGCGTTCCAGTACCTCAGTAAAGAATCGTTCAAGACTCTGTACACCATATACGTCAGGCCCATACTGGAGTATGCAGCACCAGTTTGGAACCCACACCTGGTCAAGCACGTCAAGAAATTAGAAAAAGTGCAAAGGTTTGCACCAAGACTAGTCCCAGAGCTAAGGGGAATGTCTTACGAAGAAAGGTTGAGGGAAATTTGCCTGACGACACTGGAGGACAGGAGGGTCAGGGAGACATAATAACGACATATAAAATACTGCGCCGAATAGACAAGGTGGACAAAGACAGGATGTTCCAGAGATAGGACACAGACACAAGAGGTCACAATTGGAAGTTGAAGACTCAGAAGTCGAAGGGATGTTAGTTTTTTGGTGGGAGGGAAGAAATTTTACTCGGGGAGTTGTGGTATGTGTGGTTCTCCAGGTGGGGTAGTGGTAATAAATGAGGTTCTTCTAGTGGGTTAGTGTAATGATGATTTTTCTACTCAGGGGGTTAGGGGAAGATGAGGTTTCTCTTGGGAGGGAAAGGAAAGGTTTCCCGGGGGGTTTTATAAAAAATGGGCTTCCAGGTGGGGTAGTGGAATGTGTTTACCAGGTGATTTAGGGGTAATGATATTTTCCTAAAAAGGGGAAGTGGTTTAAGAGATTTTTCTTTCAGGGGGTTTTGTGTAAAATGGCCCCATTGGTTTATTAAAAAGGGTTCATCAATTAAATTTTAATGGTTTTAATTTTTCTCTCAGGGGGAGGGAAGTATGGTTTTCCCAGGGGGGGGGGGGAAGAACCCAGTGGGGGGGGTTTGGGAAACCAGGGGATGGGAAAGGAGGCCCCAGGTGGTTGAGGAAGATGAGGCACCAG